GCCACCCGTGTGTGTCCCCACCTGTTCCCCCCGCGTGTGTCCCCACCTCCCTGTGTGTGTGTCCCTCACCTCCCTGTGTGTGTCCCTCACACCCGTGTGTGTCCTCACCACCTGTGTGTGTGCCTCACCTCCCGTGTGTCCCCACCTCCCGTGTGTGTGTGTGTGTGTCCCCACCTGTGTGTGTGTGTCCCCACCACCCTGTGTGTCCTCACCACTGTGTGTGCCCCACCTCCCGTGTGTGTCCTCACCTGTGTCCCTCACCTCTGTGTGTGTGTCCTCACTCTCTGTGTTTGTGTGTCCCCACCTCCCGTGTGTTGTGTGTCCCCACCTCCTGTGTCCCTCACCTCTCGTGTGTGCCCCCACCCGTGTGTCCCTCACTCACCCGTGTGTGTGTCCTCACCTGGTGTCTCACCCGTGTGTGTGTGCCTCACCTGTGTTCCTCACCTCCCGTGTGTGTGCTGCACCTCCCTGTGTGTGTGTGTGTCCCCACCTCCTGTGTGTGTCCCTCACCCTGTGTGTGTGTGTCCCCACCTCCCGTGTGTGTGTGTCCCCACCCCTGTGTGTGTGTGTGTCCCTCACCTCCCGTGTGTGTGTGTCCCCACCTCCGTGTGTGTGTGTGTGTCCCCACCTCCAGTGTGTGTGTGTCTCTCCTCCGTGTGTGTGTGTGTCCCCACCCCCTGTGTGTGTGTCTCACCCTTCCGTGTGTGTGTGTGTCCCCACCTCCCGTGTGTGTGTGTCCCCACCACCCGTGTGTGTCCCTCACCACCCGTGTGTGTGTCCCCCGTGTGTGTCCCTCACCTCCCTGTGTGTGTCCCCACCTCCCGTGTGTGTGTCCCTCACCTGTGTGTTGTGTGTCCCTCACCACCTGTGTGTGTCCTCACCTCCCGTGTGTGTGTCCTCACCTCCGTGTGGTGTCCCTCACCTCCCTGTGTGTGTGTCCTCACCTCCCGTGTGTGTCCCCACCTCCCGTGTGTGTCCCTCACCACCTGTGTGTGTGTGTGCCTCACCTGTGTGTGTCCCCACCTCCTTGTGTCCCTCACCCTCCCGTGTGTGTGTCCACCTCCCGTGTGTGTCCCCACCTGTGTGTGTGTCCCCACCCCGTGTGTCCCCACTCCTGTGTGTGTCCCTCACCTCCCGTGTGTGTCCCCACCCCCTGTGTGTGTGTCCCCACCCCGTGTGTGTCCCCACCTCCGTGTGTGTCCCCACCTCCCGTGTGTCCCTCACCTCGTGTGTGTGTTCCACCACCCGTGTGTGTCCCTCACATCCGTGTGTGTGTCCCCACCTCCCTGTGTGTCCCCACTCCCTGTGTGTTTGTCCCTCACCCCTGTGTGTGTGTGTCCTCACCCGGTGTGTGTCCCCACCTCCTGTGTGTGTCCCCCACCTCCCGTGTGTCCTCACCACCCGTGTGTGTGTCCTCACCTGTGTGTGTGTCCCCACCTCCTGTGTCCCTCACCACCCGTGTGTGTGTCCCCACCCGTGTGTGTCCCCACCCCGTGGTGTCCCCTCACATCTGTGTCCCTCACCCGTGTGTCCCCACTCCTGTGTGTGTCCCCCACCACCCGTGTGTCCCCACCCTTGTGTGTGTCCCCACCCCTGTGTGTGTGTCCCCACCCTCCTGTGTGTCCCCACTCCCGTGTGTGTGGTTCACCACCTCCCGTGTGTGTCCCCACCTCCCGTGTGTGTGTCCCCACCTCCCTGTGTGTGTGTCCCTCACCTCCCCGTGTGTCCCTCACTCCCTGTGTGTGTGTGTCCTCACTCTCCGTGTGTGTGTCCCTCACCTGTGTGTGTCCCTCCCTCCCGTGTGTGTGTGTGTGTGTCCCTCACCTCCCTGTGTGTCCCCACCTCCCGTGTGTGTGTCCCCACCTCTGTGTGTGTGTGTCCCCACCTCCCTGTGTGTGTCCCTCACCTGTGTGTCCCCACCTCCCTTGTGTGTGTCCCCACCTCCTGTGTGTGTCCCCACCCCTGTGTGTCCCTCTCACTTCCCGTGTGTGTGTGTGTCCCCACCTCCCGTGTGTGTCCCTCACCCCGTGTGTGTGTCCCTCACCTGTGTGTGTCTCCCTCACCTCCCGTGTGTCCCTCACTTCCTGTGTGTGTGTGTGTGTGTGTCCCTCACCTCCTCTGTGTGTGTGTGTGTGTGTGTTTCCGTGTACCTCACCTCCGTGTGTGTGTGTGTGTACATGTTTGTAATTGTTTTAATATCTTCCTTTGACATAACCCATTTTGTATCGCTTACATTACACTCACTTATCACCTTTCTCTACACCAATAACTTTATCCTACAGAAATACCTGAAATGGATAAATAATTAGATGTAATATAGAAATGTGTGTAAATGTGGTAAGAATCTATGAGCAGTAACATGTGTTTGGTAAGACCATATAACATGTTGTAATCCAGATGTTACCTTTATATAACAGTTTCCTTGAGGTAAATACAGTATACTGTAGAGTGGCCCGGCGCTCACCAGGCTCACCCAGGTAAATATTGTTGTTATTGTTCACTTTGTATCTTTATTTTCCTCGCAAAATAAACTGTTTCAATTTCAATTTCACGTGTGTGTTGCGTCATGTGTAATTATATTATTAATAATAATAAACGGTTTATTAATAGAGTTGCAGCCGGTGGCTGAAAATATACAGACTTACATTTGATTTAGACATAATGATATAATATGCATTGAATACATTTACAGGGCTGTACAGTACATAAATCAGGAGTTGTTTATTATTTTAACAATAGATGGGATGGTGCTGTTGTTATATCTATCGGTGCGGGCTCTTATGGGCTGAATTTTGTTGTAGTGGCGGACTGCGCCAGTTGGGTGGGGGGCTGAAGGTTGGCGATGACGAGGGTGGTGCAGTAGTCCACTGCCAAACCTTTCAGTGCTTGTTGGTGGAGGTTAAGATGGCATTTCCAGGGTGGAAGAGCGTTGGTGTAGCTGGAGTATTCTTGCGAGCATGATTCTGCAGGCCCTTTTCTGTACCTTCTCCTGACGTTGTTGGGTGGAGTTGAGAACGACCAGGCTGGTGACGCATACGTTAGTTTGGGGAGAATAAAGGGGTTGTAGAAGGTCCTCAGCTCTGGCGTGGGTGTCCCAAGTGACCTAAGTCGTCGTAGCATGTAGAGACGGTACGAGGCTGCCTTGACTGTGTTATTTACATGGGCCTTCCAGTCAAGTTTGTTGTGTGTGTGTGTGTCCTTCACCTTCTGTGTTTATATGTATGTTCTTCACCTGTGGGTGTCCCTTGCTTCCTTTGTGTTTCACCTCGTGTGTGAGTGAGTAGCTCACCTCCTTGTGTGCGTGTCCCTCACCCCCTACCTGAGTGTGTGTGTGTGTCCCTCAGCGCCTCTGTGTGTGTGTGTGTGTGTGTGTGTCCCTCAGCCTCTGTGTGTGTGTGTGTCCTCAGCGCCTCTGTGTGTGTGTTCGTGTGTGTGTGTGTGTGTGTTTGTGTGTTGTAACGGGTTATATAATGAATTTGATTTCACTCAAGATACATTTGAATTGAGAATAACGACAGGTATAATGAGGAGGTGTGAGGGAAGTGAGTGGTGAGGCTCGCGTGAGGGACCAGGTCGGGGAGTGAGGGGTGGGAGACGAGGCAGATTATGAGGGGAGGGTGAGATGACAGGGACTACGAGGGGAGACGGTGAGGATGGAACGGAGGCGAGAGAGACGGCGAGGATAATGGAAGGGGAGGCGAGGATTATAACTGGTGAAGAGGGAGGATGTCCAGAAGAACTCCAAGGAAGGTACAGAAGATAAATGAACAGTAACGCAAGAACAGGATAGAACACTAACACAGGAACAGGATATAACATTAATGCAAGAACAGGATAGAACAATAACAGGAACAAGATAGAACACAGAATAACGCCGGGATATGAGAGTGATTCCTGAACTGTTCTTCTTTTCAGCAACAGAATACAAATTTCAGTCGTATTTTAAGTCGTTTTGAACACAACAGGTAAGAGTAAAATACGAACAAGTTTATTCACTGTATGGATTCATGAGGAGAACAACAAAAATACAGCCAATAATACATACATACATACATACATACATACATACATACATACATGCATACATACTCACAAAAATCACCCCTTTATGACTCATTGTAAACCTCCGTCTCATCATATTTTCACAAATTTGCCAAAGATCCAACATCGGTTTATAAGGTCATATTGGGGGACGATAAGGCCCTGTCCGTGAAGCAACAAGGCCTCAGGTGGTGCACACAGCTGGTTGGCGTCTGCTTATACCGTACAGTAGGTCATGTGGACCACCTGCTGTTTGTTAAAACTCCCAAACTTACAGCGGCACGCAGGACTGTCGTAACTAAGTGTAGTACAATACATAGTTTGTGACTTAGATTATATTATTATGTTCCTCAACCCCTGTGTGTGTGTGTGTGTGTGTGTGTGTGTGTGTGTGTGTGTGTGTCCTTCACCCCCAGTAAAGTGTGCTGGGATGTGTCATGTATTACAGGTTGTCTGCGCATGCGTAAGTCACTGACAGTAACACTGTAGTAACATTAACATTTTCTGTGAGTAGTATGGTGGGCGTATATTAACACTGGGTGTACTGGTCGTTGTATTGGGTGTTGTGTTTATGTTTGTGTAGGGTGTGTGTAGAGGTGTGGGCGTCACTGGGTGTAGAGGAGGCTGTTTTACTGCGAGGTGCTTGTAACGATGGCGGCTGTACGAGGTGGTGGTGTTGTTTCAGGTGGTGGCTGCGTGGGCGGCGGCGGCGACGGCGGCGGCGGCGACGGGATGAACGTGAGCAGCGGCGGCGGCATGGTGGTGGCGTCGGGTGGCGGAGAAAGGTTTCCGTGTAGGGCGCCGGTGAGTTGCCCCGTGTGTGGTCGCGTGTGTTCCAATAAGTACATCTTAAAGATGGAGGACCGACACTCTGGCCCTCAGCGGTTGCCGTGCCCACACTGCTCCAAGGAGTACTCGTCCGCTCCCTCCTCTCACACATCTCTCGCTACCATCGTGAGCGAGAGCCTGGGCCCGTCCCCCTCCCCACCGTCGACCTGCTCGACCCCAAGCCTCAGATGGTTCATCCGCGTCCTCCTCACCAGCTGCCGGGAGTCATGCCTCAGCCCTCGCTAGACCTCATGGACCACAAGCCGCTACACCTGCCGCACCCGCACCTCTCTCCACAACTTCCTGGCCCCTCCCACTAGATCTCAGTACGTTCCCACACCTCAGTAAACTCTTTATATGTATTCCTAAATGAAAAAAAAATCGTCATGAAATACACTTGAGCATTATAAAGAAGCAATATCATGCCTGAATAGTGAGAAATTAACTATTTTGTGTTAGACTCATGAACCTTAGCCTTGACTATCTTACACCACAGGACACATCTGATGGTAGGGACCACTCGGTGTTAGTAAAAGGTTATAATGAAACAGTTAATATAATAACCAGTATAAACAATGGTAGATGTGAGGAGGTTCACTTACTCCTTCATGAGGTAACTCTTCCTGGAAAACTCCTTTATGGGGTAATTTCCCTTCGGGAATCTTCTGCGGGGTAACTCCACCATGAACCCCTTTTAGGTATCCCTCCTTCAGGTAACCCCTTATGAGGTAACCCTCCTTAGGAACCCCATTAATCATAAATTCCTTCAGGAACCCGCTTATGAGGTTGTCTGCCACCATGTAACACAGAGGGTCTTAAGAATACAGGCTTTCGGGTCTTGTCAGAAAGTAACCCCCAAATTTAAACCAGCTACCCTCCCTGGGACACACTCTGGCCCCAGGGTCACAGCACATTAGGAGTAAGAGATATCTAGAACCTTATATATTGTATGTAAGGGACCTCGTTGTCACTATAATGTTACTATTTGTTTAGAAACTTAAGTCCTGCTAATAACAAACTTATCTTTATTTTCATGGCAGTCCACTGTAACACATTTTCTTGGAGGCGTCACACAATAGGCGAAGGGTCATCACACACACACACACACACACACACACACACACACTACAGGATACAACATTCATTAATGTCACTGTGAGGAACCCTTTCGGTGAGGATTATGATGACCTTTTTAAATGTTCGTTATTTGTGTGTCCGAGATATTGCTTCACTTAGTCCACACCAGTCGAGATTACCCAGGACATGGCATGCCTCTTGCCGGGTGTAACACTGTGCTCATCTTTGTTGGCATTGGACATCAGAGAGCGCGGCAGGTATAGGTTATTTTCTGAAAAAACCGAAGTGAGCATTAGGAAGATATAATGTTGTTATTATACGATATAGCAACGACTTGAATGGACACCCAGCTCAGCTCTGTTGCAAGTGTTCAGTGAAGGGATGCCCTCACACCTAGGAGTACATCATGTAACAACACTCCACAAGAACAGCCTCTAAATCTGCACACATTTGGTGACATTGTCTTATCGCCAACCTTCAGCTGCCATCACCGAGTGGAAAAGACCGGTTCACGTTCATGCTTACTAAGTCTGAAGTCTTCACACACCATTACAGATCAATACACATCACCACAGGTCCCTACACACCACCACAGGTCCAAACACCACCACAGGTCCCTACACATCACCACAGGTCCCTACACACCACCACAGGTCCCTACACATCACCACAGGTCCCTACACCACCACAGGCCCCACATCACCACAGGTCCCACACACCACCACAGGTCCCACATCACCACAGGTCCTACACACCACCACAGGTCCCTACACATCACCACAGGTCCCTACACGCCACCACAGGTCCCTACACATCACCACAGGTCCCTACACACCACCACAGGTCCCCACACATCACCACAGGTCCCAACACACACCACCACAGGTCCCACACCACCACAGGTCCCACGCCACCACAGGTCCCACACATCACCACAGGTCCCTACACACCACCACAGGTCCCACACATCACCACAGGTCCCCACACACCACCACAGGTCCCTACACATCACCACAGGTCCCCACATCACCACAGGTCCCTACACACCACCACAGGTCCCTACACACCACCACAGGCCCTACACACCACCACAGGTCCTACACACCACCACAGGTCCCCACATCACCGCAGGTCCCTACACACCACCACAGGTCCCACACATCACCACGGCCACACACCACCACAGGTCCCACACACCACAGGTCCCTACACACCACCACAGGTCCCACACATCACCACAGGTCCCTACACACCACCACAGGTCCCCACACACACAGTCACACATCACCACAGGTCCCACACCACCACAGGTCCACACCACCACAGGTCCCACATCACTGCAGGTCCCTACACACCACCACAGGTCCCAACACACCACCACAGGTCCCTACATCACCACAGGTCCCTACACACCACCACAGGTCCCTACACATCACCACAGGTCCCTACACATCACCACAGGTCCCCACACACCACCACAGGTCCCTAACATCACCACAGGTCCCTACACACCACCACAGGTCCCTACACATCACCACAGGTCCCCACACACCACAGGTCCCCACACATCACCACAGGTCCCTACACACCACCACAGGTCCCTACACGCCACCACAGGTCCCTACACATCACCACAGGTCCCTACACACCACCACAGGTCCCCACACATCACCACAGCCTACACACCACCACAGGTCCTACACGCCACACAGGTCCTTACATCACTGCAGGTCCCTACACACCACCACAGGTCCCAACACACCACCACAGGTCCCTACACACACAGGTCCTACACACCACAGGTCCCAACATCACCACAGGTCCCTACACACCACCACAGGTCCCACACGCCACCACAGGTCCCCACATCACTGCAGGTCCCTACACACCACCACAGGTCCCAACACACCACCACAGGTCCCTACACACCACCACAGGTCCTTACACATCACCACAGGTCCTCTACACACCACCACAGGTCCCTTGACATCACCGCAGGTCCCTACACACTCCACAGGTCCCTACACATCACCACAGGTCCCCACACATCACCACAGGTCCCTACACACCACCACAGGTCCCTACACATCACCACAGGTCCCTACACACCACCACAGGTCCTCACACATCACCGCAGGTCCCTTACACATCACCACAGGTCCTCACACATCACCACAGGTCCCTACACATCACCACAGGTCCCCACACACCACCACAGGTCCCCACACATCACCGCAGGTTCCCACATACACCACAGGTCCCACACACCACCATAGGTCCCCCCCACACACACCACCATAGGTCCCCCACACCCACACACACACCACCATAGGGTCCCCCCCACACACACCACCATAGGCCCCCACACACACACACCACCATAGGCCCCCCACACACCACCATAGGTCCCCCCACACCCACACACACCACCATAGGTCCCCCCACACACACACCACCATAGGTCCCCCCACACCCACACACACCACCATAGGTCCCCCACACACACCACCATAGGTCCCCACACACACCACCATAGGTCCCCCCACACCCACACACACACCACCATAGGTCCCCCACACACACCACCATAGGCCCCCACATACACACACACCACCATAGGCCCCCCCCACACACACCACCATAGGCCCCCACACCCACACACACCACCATAGGTCCCCCCACACACACTACCATAGGCCCCACACCCACACACACCACCATAGGTCCCCCACACACCACCAGGCCCCCACACCCACACACACCACCATAGGTCCCCCACACACACCATAGGCCCCACATACACACACACCACACCATAGGGTCCCCCCCACACACACCACCATAGGCCCCACACACACACACACCACCATAGGTCCCCCACACACACCACCATAGGCCCCCCACACCCACACACACCACCATAGGTCCCCCACACACTACCATAGGCCCCACATACACACACACCACCATAGGCCCCCCACACACTACCATAGGCCCCACACCCACACACACACCCACCATAGGGTCCCCCCCACACACACTCACCATAGGCCCCCACAACACACACACCACCATAGGCCCCCCCACACACTACCATAGGCCCCCACACCCACACACACACCACCATAGGTCCCCCCACACACCACACCATAGGCCCCCACACCCACACACACCACCATAGGTCCCCCACACACACCACCATAGGCCCCCACACGCACACACACCACCATAGGTCCCCCCACACACACCACCCATAGGTCCCCCCACACACACCACCATAGGCCCCCCACACCCACACACACACCACCATAGGTCCCACACACCACCATAGGTCCCCCCCCCACACACTACCATAGGGCCCCCACATACACACACACCACCATAGGTCCCCCCCACACACACCACCATAGTCCCCCACACACACTACCAGGGCCCCCACATACACACACACCACCATAGGCCCCCACACCACACACACCCACCATAGGTCCCCACACACACCACCATAGACCCCACACACACACACACCACCATAGGCCTCCACGCACCACCATAGGTCCCCACACCCACACACACACACCACCATAGGTCCCCCACACACCACCATAGACCCCACACACACACACCACCATAGGCCCCCACACGCACCACCATAGGCCCCACACCCACACACACCACCATAGGTCCCCCCACACACCACCATAGACCCCACACACACACACCACCATAGGCCCCACACACACCACCATAGGTCCCCCCCACACACCACCATAGGCCCCCACAACACACACCACCATAGGCCCCCCACACGCACACACACCACCATAGGTCCCCCCACACACCACCATAGGCCCCCCCACACCCACACACACACCACCATAGGTCCCCACAGACAAAACCATAGGTCCCCCACACACACACCACCATAGGCCCCCACACCCACACACACCACCATGGCCCCACACACCACCATAGGCCCCCACACACACCACCATAGGGTCCCCCTACAGACAAAAAACCATAGGTCCCCCACACACACCACCATAGGCCCCCACACCCACACACACCAACCATAGGTCCCCCACAGACAAAAAACCATAGGTCCCCCCCCACACACACCACCATAGGCCCCACACACACACCACCATAGTCCCACACACACACACACACTACCATAGGTCCCCCCACACACACCACCATTGGCCCCCCACACGCACGCACACAACCATAGGTCCCCCATGCACACTCA